CACCTAAATCCACCACCCTTAATTCACCACACCTCAACTTTCTCACCACACCTTAACTCACCTCAACTCACCACACCAAAATTCACCACACCTCAACTTTCTCACCATAACTTAACTCACCACACCTGAATCCACCACACCGTAACTCCTACACCCAATTCCACCACACCGCAGCTCACCACACCCAATTTCACCACATGACATGATATCACTTGATGTGGCATCAAAGGCAACATCATTTGGCATAAAATGAACCAAAATAAATAAGATTTAGATAGAGGTGAAAAAAGGGATAAAAAGGAAATACAACTGAAGAGTGTGCGATGTTATATTGTGGTGTGTTATGCTTCATATGTTATGTTATTTATTCTCATGTTATGGTTATGTTATGTTATGCCAAGTACTAAGCTAAACTCCCCTCCACTTAACCCATTCCAACTAATGTTATTTTAGCTCATTCAACTTACATAAACTATCCTTAATTTTATCGGTTGAATTTCAACCGCTGGGCGAACACTAGTTACATTAAACGAGCAATTCTTGCATATATATATATATATATATCCATAGGGTTCTCAGAAACGGCTCTAACGATTTTGATGAAATTTTGTTCGCCGATAATGTTTTGGATTTTAAGGTTATCTGAATAGGCATTATCTTCGAGAAGACTCGTATAAGGTTGCCACCTGTTCGAAATTAGTTACAAATTAATTAAATCATCATAATATGGGTACCAAATGGAAGGTATTTTAAAGATCCCTAATTTAAAAATATATTTAATATGGTTGCCACTTATTTTGAATCGCATATTTATTTAATTTTTCTGTAAAGAAAAGGTAAAATATTACTTTTCATGGGAACTAAGAGAAGGTTCTTAAGCAATGCTTTCCTATATACAAAATGTTATCTCTTAGGATAATAGTGTAAGGTTGCCACTTGTGTTCGATTCTACACAATTTATCTAAAACATGGCAATATGGATATCCAATGAAAGGTATTGTGGAGACCTTTGGTCAGAAAATATTTTCCAGCAGGGTAGCCACGTTTCTATGTAATACAAATTTTTATTTTGTTAATTTCAATCAGCATTTATTTTATGTATACACAATACATATACGCTCAAGATATGTAGCATTCATTCCAGCGCATTTCGGAATAGGGTTGCCACATAAATTTTAGAGTAAGAAATATATTTAATAGACATCGAAATCCTATTTTTGTTTGTTTATTTCCAAAATATTTTTTGAAAGCTATCCAAATCTTGAAAACTTTAAAAAGTTTATATACGCCGGGCAAAGCTCGGTCAACCTGGTACTATCAAAATGAAATTGTGAATTGCAATTTTACGTGTAAATGAGATTGTGAATAGCAATATTAGTGATGAGCCATCTCATTTTATGTGATTTATTTTCATTAATATAAACTGATCTATCTACTGTATTAATTTTTTTATCGTTATTGCCTTCATCTTTAAATACACAACCCGCGACAAAGTCGCCCGCCTTGGGCTGTTTATTTTATTTTATTATTTTTCAAATTAATTTTAATTATATTTTAATAAAAGTATAGCTCATTGTCTGATAGAAACCATAAAAATAAATCCAGAATTTTTAGAAATTTTGTGGGTAAACATTTTTTCACTTACTTCCATATAACGAATGTTCGTATTTTATTTTATATAAAAGGAAATGCGCTAAACCGTTTCGTTTTTTTTTTTAATTTTGACGGAAATGGGGAAAAGTACAATTAAGCTCAAAAACTTACACTTTTTTCATTAATTTAGTACAATTTAAAAATCCCAAATATCAACACTGGTTTAGACGAGAACCCTTAATGTACAGTCAAGAACAATTTTCTCCAACATTTCTTAACCGAATTAGATGAGTTGCATTTGGTGTGAAATCTGGACACCAGGCGCAGATGTATTATTCTTCATGCTAGGTAGCGCCAGAATCGATTCTACCTAGCTAGAAAAGAAATTTATTTTATGAAAGAATTCTGGCCATCAGTCAATCAAGTAGAAAAAGTAAAAATTATTATTCTTTCGGAACCATACTAAAACCTCACAAATTTTTAATAAAACATATCGCACGTTCAATAATATAACGAAGTATTTCCATGGCTTTATTCAGCAGGTTTAAATAGCTTTATGAAAAGACATTTTCATACATTTTTCAGTTTATAAACCTTTTTTAAAGCTATTTTATTTTTTATGAATAAGGCCACAAAATTTCGATTTTGTGATTTTATAAAAGTAAGCCATAAATTAAAATAAACGTCTACGACAACAAGTAGCATCCAAAGAGTATCTTTTTTTTTATTACCTGAAAATTTGGATAAATAAGAGCCTTATAACATTAAAAAATAAAATTGCAGCATGGTGGTTTTTGCAAAAAATTAATATAGCGAGTTTTGAAAAAATAGCTTTTACATGGCTAGCTTTTTTAGCTTTTCGCCTTTCCTCTTCCATGAAGATTGGTCTGTTTCTTTTTTAATACCTCTTCCACTAGGCACCGAAACTACTACGTTTTCTTGCAGTTTTCAAAGTTCATACGAAGGTGGATACTGCCAAAAGTGTATAAAGAAGTATTTTGCAAGTGTAGTTAACATTTGATGCTACTTTCTTTCAGAGTATAGAAAGATTTTGCACTGACATGAAACTACCTTAAATGCTGACACGTTACCTACCAAAAACTAAAAATCGGAAAAAATTTACATAGCGCACTTTGCAAGCTTATTAATTGCATAATGAAATCTCCAAAAACTTATGGGAAAATTACTATTTTAGAATAAGTTGAAATTTTAAGGGTATTAGAAACATACTGAACATAACTTTGTAAATTTCTAGACGCTAGTTTTAAGTGTTACATATTTTGTTTTTATTTTTTGCAGGAAAATCTGTGTCTTCTGGTATGATTGAGCGACGTGCCGCCAAATGTGGCGATGGCTCACGCTTTCTCATCGACGAATTCGTCCACAGGGATCAAGTCTGGGGCTACGGAGACGAAGATATACAAAACGAGGATGGCATTGAATTGGCCAAGATGAAATAAATTGCACAATTTTTAACTGCATACATACATATACATATGTATGTATATATAATTGCCAATGGAGGCTCTTCAAGCGTGTATTAACTTCGACATTTGTTCAAATTTTTTGTCATTTAGATTTAGGTTTTATAATTACAATAAAAACGTTTTAATTCTGCTAGTTTAATCTCTGTTCACACTCTGTTTGCCTTGAAATTCAATGTACACACAATTTTCATTTTTTTCTTAAGTATGCAAATTCGAATGTAAGAAAGTAAGAGTTTAATCGCTGCTATGACCATTGAACTGACACCGGCTTGCTTTGTAATATTCGAAAATTAAAACTTAAGTTATGCACAGACTTTTTTCTGTTTAAATACATATGTACATACATATATCGTCAGGAGGTGCATGACCCTACAAGCCTGGCATTAGCTCCAATGCATATACATATGTACATTAACCTACATACATACGTATATATGTACATTTATTTTCTAATTCTGATTCTTAAGCTCATTTTCTTATTCGTTGCTATGTACTTTGCTATGAAAGGAATTTTAAATTAACTACACACAATTAATTTATTTAAATACTTTCTATCCTTGAGCAAGTATTCACATACATATATGTGTGTATACGTATAGATGTGTGCGTACCGAGTGGTCTGTTTTTGAAATAATGGCATTCCTTCAGTTAAGTTTTTGATATCGTGCGGGTCGGTTCAGCCGCGGCTTTAGATTTTCCTACACAAAAAAAGTTATCGCGAGCTAAGAATTTCTACAGAGAAGAATTTCTAGAGAAATTTCAGGCAAGCAGACTGAATCAACTGTTTATTTGAAATTCGCATATTCTTTTGTTTTCAGTGAGTGAAGGGTCAAAACTGTGATATATTAAGATCTATGTATATATTCACAAGCACGTACCTACATATTTGTATCAGGATGTCCCAGGATATATGGTTTTTTTTTTATGTTGCGAATTTAGACGGTGACCATCTGTCCTGTATTGTACGGGACAGTCCTTTTTGTTAGTATGTTGTCCTGGTAACTTTTTTGTTTATACGCAGATGTCCTGTACTTCTTTTGAATGCCCGCCTGCTGTTGTGTAGTTGTGTAGGGCCTGTGATCAAGCCCAGTTTCCGACTAAAATAAACCCAAAAGAAAAGAAAATTGTAGCAGAGGGCAGCTTAACAATAGGTGGGACATTGCTGGTGCCATTCCAATAGTCAACACTAACTATGCAGTACCTCAAAAGTTTCAACCGAGAAAATCTACTACTACGCTTGACTTGCAAATCCAATAAAATAAATATCCTTTAAGTAACAAAGCCGATAAACATATAGGTTTATACATGTATTCTAATATAAATAGCTAGCCGGATTAGATATCAACGTTCGGGATCTTTTCTATACTGAGAAAATCGTTTATTGAGAGAAACATGTTAAGCAGACGTAACCCTTTTCTCAGCGTAGCGTACTATGGTTGTACCAAAGAAATGCTGAATGCCAGCCTAATTTGTCCAAAAACTAATTTTACAAAAGTATCCCGACTCTAGCCACTCTTAGCTAGTTCAAACAAAGCAAATTTGGAACATATTGCCCTAATTTCATTGCAATAAAATGCACCGTGTAGAAGTGCATTCGGAAAATGCATATAAAATTCCACACGTTTGCAAATAGTTATTATTAGCTTTCGTTTGGTGCAACTAATGCCCCCTAAATTAGATCCTTAGGACTGCCGTACATCGTGATTCTTAAAATGACTGTATTCTGATAAAAGTGAATGAATTGATATTGTATTTGGCCTCTTAACATTAATCACTACTAAGCCCTCTAATATAGACAACACTAGAAGTCCCTGGTTCTTATCTGTACAATAAACATCTAATGCACATTTTCTTACGTGTTAAAATGAAACGTATATTTATTTATTTATATTATTACTGAAATCCAATACAGGATACACACATATATCTAGCTTAGAGTGAAATGTTGCTAACTCCACTTTTATGCAATGCTTCGAAAAGGATTAAGGTAATTGTTTTATTATTATTATTTTTTAATATTCAATGGATGGAAAATTTGTTTATCTAATAATAATAATAATAATAATAATAATAATAATAGAATGGCGTTAACACATATCTTAGTGTTTGGCCGAGCTTCTCCTCCGACTTGTGGCGTGCGCCTTGAAATTGTCGCCGACTGTACTTTTATGAGAAGGTGTTTTTTTTCATGGCAGAAATATACTCGGAGGCTTGCCATTGCCTGCCGACGGACGACCGCTGTTAAGAAAAAACCTTTTTCTATATTTTTTGCGATGTTGCTTTGACCAGGGCTTGAACCCTGGTGCTGATGAGTGAAAGCGCGCACTGCTTACCACTGCACCACAGCGGCCGGCAAATTTGTTTAGAGGCACCGAAATTCTGATAAGTCAAAAATAATACGATATGTTTTAATAAAGATCGAATCCTTCTGATTCCTATGGAGTTTTGCTATGACCCAATCCGCAAACTGTTGTATTCAAAGTTTTGCGAAATAAGTACCTACTTGAAGAAAATGGCTATAAGACTTTTTCCCAATAAATAATTTTATTTTACCCATTTCTATTTGAATTCAATTTTCTTATTAAATTAATTACAAAGGGTATTTATCTAAACGCGTAAATGCCTCGTAAACACGTAAACCTTGTAAATTTAATTAATTTTGGATGGAAAACGAGGCTTTTACGTATTTAGATGAACACCTTTAAAATTTTTACAAAATTGAGTATCCGGTAGTTTTTTTTTTAATTCGCTTTGATTTTTCAATTTTATTTTTTGTCGAAAGTACTCTTTCTTATATGGAAGAAAATGCATAACACCGTCAAAAAACTAGTCACACACCGAAATATTCAGGCTTTGTGGTGGTTTTATTTCGTAGAAAAGAAATCTGTTATGCTCGATTGTTTTTGAGGACTTTTAAGCGCCTTTTGATGCAAGCTTCCCAATAAAAATATTTTCGTCCGTCCCACTTCCTAAATTCCTAATATCGAGCTCGTCAAATTTCCAACATTCGTTATATATGTAGAGTCAGCAATGCATTGAAAAATAGCGTTCGTTATACCGAATATTCGTTATGTCGGCATTCCTTATACTGGAGCATTTTTTGCATTTTGTGTATTTTGTATTGAATTTTAGTTTTATTAAACAAATTTCAAGGAAAAGTAAAACATACCATGCAAGTATGTACGTTTTTTTTATTTATTTTAACACGTAAGAAAATGTTGAAATTTGCATTGTGACACAGTCTGCCGCAAGTTTTAAGAAAAAGTTAAGTGCAGAAATGGATTCCTCACGTCAAAAACCCATTGCAGCAAGTTTTATACAAAATTTAAGAATTTCTTCACGAGACTACAGCAAAATTCTAAGTAAAAGAAAAATATTTTCGGAATTTGGCAAACACCAAATTGATTTTGGACCCATTCTTGGACAAATTTTCTTAGAATAACATGTAGAATCCTTCTATGCTATACGCGCAATGTTAAAAAAAATTCACCCGCCCTACTGTACACACTTTTCAGACGTAGAAAGGTCGACAATTGTGCGGTATTGAAGCTCAATCGCTAATATTTTTCAGGAAGTTTGTAATTTTCATATATATGTACATAGATGCATATGTATGTCCATATATCGCTGACTTACTAAAAGTTCATCGCATGACGCGTTTGAAGTTTTCAATTTGCTCCCAAAATGCAGAAAAAAAAATTCTATTATCTTCCTACGCGGAAACTACAAACGATTATAAACATTTAGCACCAAACTCTTACAAAATAAGAAGACTGTAATTCGCATCGTTTGCTCAAAAATTTGTGTGTTTGAGTTACGAGGGTATTTTATTAAATGAACGATATGTTCATATATACAAATGTACATTAATACACATTCACATATATCCTTCAGAACGCTTCTTCAAGGATGGAAAACCAAGAAAGCTTCGCTAGAAATAGCGATGCACCGCAACAACAACCGCCAGAAACATCGATGACAGCAGAAAACACAATAAAACAGAGCTCCCAACGCATTAAACGCGAAGCGAGTTGGCCTTCGGTGCTATTTTATATACACTTGAATATACTTGGACTCTATGGTGTTTTCGTAATGTTCACCGGCGCTTCATTCCTGACAATTTTATTCAGTAAGTTCAAATCGAATTCACCAAAAGTTATTGTTTAAACGCCATTGATTTCAAATTGTGTACATATCGTCGTTTAAAGTGCAAAACCGCGTATCAACAAAATGCAAAACCGCGTATCAGCAAAATGCAAAACCACGTATGTGAAGTTGTAGAAATTCATTTTCTAGAGCGTAAAAACACACATATTTCTAAAGTGTTCTCTTTTTTATAAAACAATCGCATTTCTGGCTAGTATATTTCAGGACGAATGTATAAGGATTGAGCCAAGAGCTTGTGTGAGCAAATCCAATTAATGTCAGTTACGCGGTTTTGCAGAATGACGAAACGCGGTTTTGTACTTTAAACGACGATATATATGTTGCATCTTTATACATAGGTATACATCGATAAATATATATCTACGGGTTATGTACATAACGTTGCCTTAATATAGAAAATTCCTAACTCATTTTCCTTTGAAATTAAGCTCTGCATAAAAGTCGGTAGATTACTCAATAAAGACATAATCGAATTTAAAACCAACTACTTGTTACATCAATAAAATACTTTCAGGTTTTCTTAAAACAATAAGACCTGTTTAAAATGTCTTGGGTCAAACATATAAAAAAATTTAAACCCTAACTATTTTTAAACGTCGTTTTAAAGGTCACGGTTTTTTTATGTATCCAACGAGACCATTTTTCTTAAATTCTCTATCTCAGGAGCAATACCGTTACATTTATTTTGCCATCTGTTCTCGATCTGGAAATTTTTGATTTTGTCACACAAAAAAGGTTATTTTCCACACTGTGCGACCCCTTGCAAATGACCTAAATGCATTTATTTTTTTATTTTTAAGCCACATGATATGAAATAGTCTCATTTAAACTATTTAATTGTAATTATCCTTTCGTTGTTGTGCACACTGGCGCCTAAATGAGACTATTTACAGCCACTATGGTCTCGCAACAAAATATATGGATGCATTTTTATTACATATTTAATACGAGTAGAAACATAAACATTTTTTTACCCGGAAATTGTTTTTAAACATTTTATTAATTTATTTAGCCTTCACTTTGACCTTCCTCGGTATTTTGGGAGCGACAGCTGGCGCTCATCGGCTATGGGCGCATCGAACATACACAGCTAGCACGTCGCTGAGGCTCTTCCTGATGCTGTGTCAGACCTTAGCTGGACAGGTAAATAATCCCCCAAGTATAAAAGATATTAAACAATTCCAATATTTTTAGGGCGTGAGAGGAGAGGTGGCCTTACACAATTTTTGTTTTTGTTTTGTACTTAACGGCTTGAAATACAAGATCCAAATGTGATGAAATTTACAATAAAAGTTGCTTATTCCTTAATTTTAAGGTACAAAGCTACATCTAGTACCTTAAAATTGAAAAATAAGTCAATTTGTTTTAAAATGTATCACAATTGAAACTATTTTAAGTAGTTAAGCAAAAAAAAGGGGTTAGGCCACTTTTGCTCTCACGGCCTCAATTACACATACATATGTAATAGCGTGGCCGAAAATCCGCTTTTTTAGATTCTGGATTGGTAATAGCAAAAATATGGTTAATTATGCTTTAAAATAAATCTGTATGAAATGTGAAAATTGTTGTTCAGTATCCTAGACTCACCCAAGTCCATCAAAGTTCCAGTACTAAAAAAATATGTTTCTTAGCTAACTTCGATTCTCCACAAAAAGGTCCATAAAACCAATTATGTAGGACCAATACTTTCGAATATTATTGTAATTTTATTAAAAGACGTATTAATTAATTAATTAATTAATTTTTTTTTTTAGTATATTGAACTTTGATAGACTTGGGTGAGCCTAGCATATTGACCAAAAATTTTCACATTTCACACAGATTTATTTTAGAGCATAATGAACCGTATTTCTGCCAATACCAATCTAAATTCTAAAAAAGAGGATTTTCGGCCCACGCTAATATGTAAGTGTGCATTAGGCAAATGACTTTAAATTAAATACACCAATGAGTAGAGAATGCGGAGCCATGAAAAATCTAAAAAAGTAATGTAATAGTGAATGTTTGGGGAAAAAAATGTAAATATTTTTGTACGAAAAAAACATACATATGTATGTACTTATAAATATGTATGTGGGAAATTCTTTTTCAACCGAATTATGACTGCGATCAAAAACTGGTTTCTAATTTTTTATTTTTCTTTTTTGAATCGATTGACTTGTGATAACAACCCCCAACCGCCATACAAATAGATACATATACATATATATCGTCGTTTAAAGTACAAAACCGCGTATCAACCGAATGCAAAACCGCGTATGTGAGTGAGGTTGCATAAATTACACTGGATCACAAATTTTTGTTTGGTTTTTGTTCTCCAGACCCCGCCACTATCCAATTTCTATGTAGAGGGATACCGAAAATCCAGTTTTGTTTTCTATGGATACGTTTTCAAGATATTTTCAATTTACCGTTATTCTGGTTAAAGCAAACATTTGTTCCTGTTAATCACGTATATCTTACGAACGAATTTAACAATCTTAATATAAAATGCGGAAAATGAAAGCTAATAAAATTCTCCATAGACCGTATATACATCACATTCCGATAGGACGTATAGTTTCTGACAAATTAATTAATCATACCATTTTTTTTTTTTTAATGAAAAAAATCAAAAATTTAACAGAAGAAAAATTAAAAAAGTAACAGGTTCTGTGCCAAATTTTTGCATCTGTGCTAAAGCCTGTTCTGTTACAAACAAAAATTAATGGATAAATAAGAAATTTTGAGTGGTCAAATGCGCAACGATTTTTTGTATGAAATATAAGCAGAAAAGCGTGTTACTCTAGTGTACGTGGCGTATGAGTAACTTTCTTTCCTGCTCATTCTTCATACAAAAAACCGTTGCGTATTTTCATTTGACCACTCATTATTTTTTATTTATTCATCGATTTTCTTCATTAGTAATTAGATTTTTTTTTTTGTAACAGACCAAGCTGATTAATAAATTTGCCAGAAACTATAAGTCCTATCGGATGTATATATGGTTTATGGAGAATTTTATTAGCTTTCATTTGTCGTATTTTATATTGAGATTGTTAAATTGGTTCATAAGATATACGTGATTAAAAGGAACCAGTTTTGGTTAAGGAGAATAACGGTAAATTGAAAATATCTTGAAAATGTATCCATATAATAACAAATTAATTCAATTTCGGAATCACCGAGCAATTTCACATGGGAATTGAATAGTGGCATCCACAGAACATTTTTGCTGTAAACCGAACACTGTAAAAACACTCATATTTCTAAAGTGTTCTCTTTTTTATAAAGCAATCGTATTTTTGGCTAGTATATTTCAGGACGAATGGATAAGGATTCAGCCAAGAAATTGTGTGAGCAAATCCAATTTTTGGCAGCAAATGGCAGTTACGCGGTTTTGCAGAATGACGACACGCGGTTTTGTATTTTAAACGACGATATTATTTGACCAGAAGTTTAAGCATTAGCTTAGTTTATATGGAAGTAATTACATTGGCTAAGTCTTTCATAAAAACTAAGCTGCTACTGGCTGTCAAATAAAACGCCTATTGCCCAACTTCTCCGATATTACGTTCGTTGTTTCTCCAGTCATAAGTGAATTTGTCGCAAGCGTTATATCGAGCCCTAACCGCCAAAATAACGTAAGAGACATATTTTTCAAAGTTTCCTGTTTGATGCAGAAATGCATCCAATGGCTCTAGGAATATTTCTGCATCAAAAATAACAATTTAAAGAAAATGCCGCTTACGTTATTTTTGGCGGTTAGGGCTCGACATTATTTCACTGGGATGGTAAAAAGTACATGCATACTTTTAAGTTTATGCATCTAATAGTTCGTTCCCCTAGTAGGCAGTGTAGTCTAAATTATACTAAAACTTAATGGGCTATAAAAACTGTGTACTCAAAATTCCAATTAATTATACCAAACTGCAAAAAAACGGTTGGAAATGTAGCATCAAAAGTTTTTTAAGCTAGTAACTGCAAAAAGAACATTTGGAAATGCATCATCAAAACAAAAATTTTTTCGAATAACGAAAAAAAATTTATCATCAAGAGCACCCGGCGAATTTGCAACCCTGTGCATGCGTTTAGCTGCTTCCGAATCCATTTTGAAAACCTGTGTTTCTGCCGACATCTGTGGGTCATTAGCGTTTATAACTAGCTAAACTTATTAACCCTTAAAGGGTAACTTTATTTTACATACTTTAAAGGTAATCTTCGTCAAATCGACGAAGTCCGCAAAGTTTTTGCTGGGAGAGATCTGGGATGAAGATCAAGGAAGTCATCACCTCAATTTCAGTAATATATTCCATGTTTATGTTATAGCCAGCCCGGTCAAGTTAGACATTCAAGGTTACAATAACTCGCATACAACTGAAAATTGGTACGAGTGTTGCGAACACCATTATGAATGAAATGTCTAAAGTCCCCATCGATCCCATGTCTGCAAAAAAATTTATTCAAGGTCAAAGGCCACATAAATTGGTTTTTCGCATTTTCCAACAAGCGGTAAGATAAGGTTCGTTACAAAAATAAGTGAAATGAGAGTGTAGGTTATGCAATTACTTATCTATAAAAACCGTTAAAACATATTTAAACCTAAAAAACTACCATTTCTGAGAAAAAGTGATTCAAGAAATTGTGTTCTCCATAAAATGCACAATTTCTTCTGTACTTGTGGGGTAGTGTCCCTGCAAAAATCGCGACTACTCCATGCATGCATGTAAAGAGTACTCCCGAAGGACCAAGGAGTACTCCAAAATTAACCACAATTCATATAAAAAATATGGTCCAATTAACATTGCGATGTCCTAGGGCAGGACCATATACTCCATCTGTGCATTACATCAGAGTAGCACACAACTACTCCCAACATACTCCAATGACATTATCGTTATATTTTTTCGTTTGTACACGCTTTTGTTCTTCACTTCGCAGATGCTTTTTTTGAAATTAATAAAAACCAGAAACAAAAATTAAAAATTACATGTTGCCTCTGACGACATTCGAACCCGAACATGCTGGGAGCTAAGAACTAACAGCTAGCATCTCTACACGTTCAGCTACAGCCAGACATACAAATGTACATTCAAATGCTTAACTTCAATCACATGTCGTTAAAACACGAGCAGTGATCGGGTAACAATAAGCTGGTGCAGAGACACGAGTTGGTCCGCTACAGCATGACAGAGGAGCACTTTTGTAAGTACTCCAATATACCACAAATAGACTACATGGTCCAACGATTTTTGCAGGGGTATTCGTCGCGTTTTCTTAACGTTATTTCTCCGGCGTGCCTACGTCACGACTTATTCTAGTCCTAAAATTGTAGCCCAAAATTGAATTTCCGATCCGAGTGCCATATTTTATCAAAACCGTGCAGCAGTTTCTGAGTGAATAGCAGTCTCACATAGTGCATATTTTAATTTTGATCGAATTTCAAATCATCATATCAATGAAAAGAGTTCTTAATTAAAAAAAAAAGTAAGTGCACCTGGGCCACAATAGAGAAGTGAAACTTACGTTACTTATCTATTTTGTCTCATAACCAATGTATACATACACATATCTGCTTTTGTTTAGGTTATATTTTTTCTCTCTTTTCTATCTAGATCCCTACCTCTACCTCTGTTCGTTTTATTAACATTCATGTTATTCTGTTTTTCCTTTATATTCATTTTTATCTTTATACTCTATCGATAACAAAATCGATAATAACGTCCAACAAAATATCGATAATAAAACCGATATATAGATAAAAAATCGATGGCAAAATCGATGACAAATTCGATGCAAACTTCAACGGCAACATCGATAACACTATTCGTAGCAAAATCGATTAGAAAATCGATAACAAAATCGACAAATATCCATAACAAAATCGATAAATATCGATAACAAAATTGATAAATATCGATAAAAAAATCTATAAATATCGATAACAAAATCCATAAATATCGATAACAAAATCGATAAATATTGTTAACAAAATCGATAAATTCGACAACAAAATCGATAAGTATTCATAACCAAATCGATAAATATCGATAACAAAGTCGATAAATATCGATAACATAATCGATAAATATCGAAACAAAATCGCTAAGTATCGATAACAAAATTGATAAAAATATCGACAACAAAACCGATAAAAAT